TCCTCAGAGGATGACAAAATGTATCTGAGTGCTTGCAGAAGCAACTGAGGACAGAGCCAGACAAAATTAAAGAAAAAACTACTATAACAACGATGCCTCATCCTAATTGTAATATACAGTATACTTGTTTATCTTAATTATTGACTAACTAACTGAACTATTAATATACAGATAATAATTGTCTTCACAGTATATACAGGATAATTTATTTAAGTTAAAATAACATTACTAAGACTATTTATATTTATTTGTATTGCATTGTTATATTGAAAAAATACTCTATTTTTTAATTTCTTTCATTTTATACATTTATTACAATGTACAACTCTTTGGCAATGTCTAAACGTCATTTTATAAAAAACACGTCTAATTAAATAGTTGAATTAAAAAAAATTTTTATATTATTGAACGATTTATATTGAACGAATTCTATGGACAATGTCTAAACTTATGTCATTGTTTTATTAAAAACATCAAAATAAAAATATATTGGTGTTAAATTATTAATAGTTTTTTTTATATTGTGTTAAATTATTTAAAAATGTTATAGTTGCAAATACCATTTTAAGTCAGTCATGTCTGTGCAAAAATGGTGCAGGATGCATTATCTGCCAATTTGCAATACTTAAAGGGATAGTTCACCCAAAAACGAAAAGTTGATGTTTATCTGCTTACCCCCAGGGCATCCAAGATGTAGGTGACTTTGTTTCTTCAGTAGAACACAAACGAAGATTTTTTACTCAAACCGCTGCAGTCTGTCAGTCTTATAACGGAAGTGAATGGGAATCACAGCTTTGAGAGTCAAAAAAACATACACAAACAAAACCAAATTAAACCCTGCGGCTCGTGACAATACATTGATGTGTAAAGACATGAAACGATTGGTCTGTGCAAGAAACTGAACAGTATTTATATCGTTTTTTTACCACTGATTCACCGCAATGTCCGAACTGTCCTGAGAGCGTCCTAAGCGCGTTCTCAACAGCCGGTGCGTGATGCGTCTGCTTCTTCTTCTTGCTTTATGGTGGATTGCAGACTTATAAGTGCATTACCGCCACCTATCTCTCAAATGGACCATTGACACTCTATCTACAATTTGTAGCTAGAGTGTCAATGGTGCCGTGATTCCCATTCACTTCCATTATATGACTGACAGACTGCAACGCGCTCAGGACAGTTCGGACATTGCGGTGAATCAGAGGTAAAAAACGATATAAATACTGTTCAGTTTCTTGCACAGACCGATCGTTTCGTGTCTTTACACATCAATGTATTGTCACGAGCCGCAGGCTTTAATTTGGTTTTGTTTGTGTATTTTTTTGACTCTCAAAGCTGTGTTTCCCATTCACTTCCATTATATGACTGACAGACTGCAACGGTTTGAGTTAAAAATCTTCGTTTGTGTTCTACTGAAGAAACAAAGTCACCTACATCTTGAATGCCCTGGGGGTAAGCAGATAAACATAAATTTTGTTATTTTTAGGTGAACTATCCCTTTAAACCCCTAACATAAGTATGAGCAACAGAAATAGCAATGCTCCCCTTATACCACTTATTACCACTTATTAATCTGCAGTGATTTAGTTACGGTGTCACATTTTGTGTCATGGTCTTTTTCAGAATAATTATGAATTTGTGCTATTTTCCGTGCAGCCTTCAAGTTACAGTTTTCACATCTTTTTAAACACCCCATTCATGACAGTATGTACAAACAGACCCGAATCTGGAACCAGGAAGCGAGGATGTTGTCGCTGTTGTCATGGGGATGGGATGGATCTCTGTGGTGTAGCTGGTACGTTGCAACGAGAGACACAGAGATGAGTGGGATTAAAATGTTCTGGAAAGCATTTACCGCAGGCTCAGGCCCATCTCCCAGGCTAATGGACCGGAACAGATGGGGGTGGATGAAGAGTTCTGTATCTGTGGCACTGAATCGCTGGGTCACCAGGTGCTAGAACCTGTAATGAGAGGTGATGAATGGCAATGCGTTGAACAAACCCAAAAAGCTCGCCCATAGCATCCTTTCTGAAGTGCCTGCTGTCCACATCCCGTGGACGCTTGGCTAATCGCTGATCCCCTCATTTCCACATAGGTCACAGCTGTGAATGAAAGCTGGGCGATGCAAATCAAACTCAATAGGTTAGAAAATGGAGGGCTATGAGGTTGATAAATCATAATTTGTAACCATCCCTCAGTCACAAGAGAAAGTCTTTATTTCAGAGCCGTCAAATAGCAGGCAGATGTGCATGTTGTATATGATGTATGTTCCAAGCCAATGAGAATTTAACTGAATACAAATTCAATTCCAATCCAATTAAATATCAATTTAAAATTCAATTCTTGAATTTGAACTGAATTAGCAAATAGGATGCATTTATGTTTATGCATTTGACAGATGCTTTCATCCAAAGCGACTTAAAGTGCAATCAGCGTTTATATATTGGATTTTTATTTTATAAATTGACTTTAATGAAGCAGAAAAAATCTAATACATTTCAAAAATTCTCATAATGAATTCAAAAATTTCCATTTCACTACAGAAAAATGTAAAGAACATACGGACTATGTATTTTTTTATATTATTGTTTCTTGTGTATTATTATTAGTCCACTTATATTGTTATAGCACAATTCAATCAATGGCTTCACATTAATGTAATTTTTTTTTAAAGTAATCAAAATCTAAATCTGTTTTGACTATTGAACTTGAGCAACATCACATGAGCAAGAGTGTTTGATATTCAAACAACAGCACAGCAGGATTGTGAATGAGATATTGCTTGTTTTTACATAACATCTCGATAAATAAAAAGTTAACATTGAGTAACTTACATTTTAGACACTATACGGACAGTTACTTCGTCTGTATTTGCTCCACCAGCGACAAAAACTCCAAACGAAACCAAAGCAGGATCAAGTCTCCTCGCGTTTCGGTCCCAAATGAATCAGTATTGCTGAATGAATCAGTTGCATAAATGACTCACCTATAAAGAATTCTCAATTGTCGCCATCTGCTGGATGTAACGTGCATCCTAAATAGTAAAACGTTCCAGCGCTCTTGGAACTTATCAGTCTAAATTAATATTTTTTTCTGGTCAAAAACTGTCCATCACAAATAATTACATTTAATTATAATACAGTACATTAGTAAACATAACATTTGAGTATATTAGCTAAGTAATGAGTTCTACACTGTAAAATCCAATAGTTTACCTTACTTAGATTTAATTAGTTATCTTTACTTAGTTGTTATACTTACTAGGTTTTATTAAGTTACAGCTACTTTCAAGGCAAATAAAACAACTTACTTACTGTTTTGAGTGACACTTACTTAAAATATTCAAGTAGCCACAAAGGAACCAATGACATTAATAAACCAGTGAGAGGCAGCAGGGCACTAATATGTTGCTAAAGTGCAACATAACAACAGAAGAAGAAGAAAAGAAAAAGAGTCTTAATAGACTTTTCACTCATTTCCTCAATGTCTGCAGTTATCTTTCACTAGTTGCATTCACTCGTTTCCCAAAGTCATCTTGAATGTTGAATTCTCAATACAACTGAAATATTTGAGAGAACATCACATAAGCTAACTTCATAAATTGAGGTTGATTTTCCTAAAATGTGTGTTTTTTTTAACTCACCATTATAGTGATTAGCGTTCCTTTTGGTTGAGCACTTGGAACTTCGCTTAAGTTACTATATTTTTCTTTCTGTTAAGGCAGTAATGCATCATAAAGTCAGAATTATTTGATTTCAAGGAAAGAAAGATAATAAGGTTGCTTTCAGAAAGTGCTCTATTTTCTAATTAAAGCTTTAGTGTATTAATTTTTGTTTGTTTTTAAAAGAACTTGTTCAAATTTCACTTTTCATAAATACCTTGAAATGCTTTTAATTGGGTGTATATAATCCTGAAATGGTGTGTGGTAATATGCTGAAGTCACAGACAGACTTAAACATTCAGCACATGAATCACAACAATGGTAACAATTCAATTTCATTTATTTTCATTTATTGTAACAATAACCATTTTATTTGCTCTTTTTGTTGTGCTACTACTGACACAAGACAGCAAATAAAATTGGCAAATAAAATCAACAACTGTAAAACAAAGCAACTGCATAATTTATTCATGCCGCAATGCACTCTGGGAGTCAGTGAGTAGCTATACTAAGTCATGAGTAAACCTAAATGAAAGGATCAAGTATCCCCTACAGTTCTTTTTTAGTTACTAGAACTCTCGTGTAAGTAAACTATACTAACTAAGCATTTGTCAGTACAACATACTATTCCTATTTCACTTTACTTAGTTTTTTCAAGGCAATCGGTTTGCATGCTTTTTTTAAGTAAGCCCAACTAATTAGATTTTACAGTGTAGAAGCTTTAAATACCTTTAGTGTAAAGATGGATCGTATCAACATTGTTCGTCCTGTAACACAAGATTTATTTTTGTGCTTAATTTCCTCACAATTTCCATACATTGCACTGCACTGGAAATTGTGAGGTGGTCACTGACGCTAAATGCGGAAGCGATAATGCATGCTCCCAATTCAACAACTGGTGGGGTGTGTTGGCAATTCAATACAATTGGCCATTTATTAACGGAAAATAAGTAAATTCTTAAATTCTGTATTATGACCAACCTGGAGTGTACTGAGGAAAAATATGGTTGAGATTATTCAAGTCTTAATTTATTTTGTACTCCCCATATCTTCAAATAAAACTTCACATTTCTTTTAAGTAATCACCCAACTGGTCTGAATAATTGGAGTTCCAATTTACACAAGATACTCCAATGAATTAAACGAGGTAGCTGAAATGAACAAAGGAGTGATAAAACATGGAGTGTGATGATAAGCACTGGCAAGTAATTAAATCGTTCAGCTGCACTCCTTTGCAATTGGACAAGATTATCTTGTGGGGCATCCCATCATAACCATTAATTTCCTGCAGGATCTAAAAGGACATCTTTAAAAGAGATTTCCCAACTCATACACTGTGAACCTCTGCAAATTTCTTAGAAAGTTTTCGAGCCCAACTGTTCCCAGAATCCATTTGTAGAAGCAGAAGAGTGACATAACAGGTGAGATTACATTGATTCATCTTTATCTGCTGTCCATCTTGACGCTGGTCTCATGGGCTTAATGCCAAGATTCCCCTCAACAGCACATGCTCTCTTAAAATTTTAACCTTGCAGTGGCACAACTGTGAGCACAGTGTGAAAGTGTTCTTGTATCCCAGAGGATGGCTAACCCAAGACAGGAACCGCATCAGAACGCAACACTCTTAAAAGATCTAATCCCCAACAGCGGGGGTCTTGTACAATCCACTAGGATGTGAGGAGGTCTGTCTAGAAAGAGATAAGACTATGTGTGTGAGTATTTCTGTACAGATGTAAGCCTACTTGGGTGGATTCATCTTCTGTTTGACGGAAAACAGGAAGGAGAAAGCGTGTGCATGCATACATACATGTAGAATCCAGGGCTTTTTCTCATGTTGTCAGGAAGCACAGGAGATCTCATGATGGGCCGACATCTTAAAAACAGTTCTACAGAGATCCATTAGCACAATAGACATTAGAGAAATAGTTCACCCAAAAATGAAGATTTGCTAAAAAATGTAGTCATTAGGACATTCAAGATGCACTCATGTTTTTGCTGGAAGCAACAGTTAAAAATGTCTTGATGGATTTGTTTATTATACAGCAATTTTGTTTTTGGTAAAACTATTCTTTTAATCAGATATGGCTAAATATTCATGCTGCTATTGTGGATGCATTGGTGACCTTTGTGATCTGTGACCTCTAGAAACCTTTTCTTCTAATGATGTTCAGTGTGGGACCACAACTTCAAATGATCTGCCATCATTTATGAATCTGTTAAAGTAAGCAAGAATGCCTCACATCTTAAATATCTGATATAATGTCAGTATGTTTGAATATTTCATCATCTTACTTTTGTATTTTAGAAGATCAAATCTCTGCTGTTCTCTTTACTCAACAGAAAACTGCAAGAATATCAGTTCTAAGAGTTCTTCTAATTCTAATTCTAATTCTGTTTGGTAATGATTTTTTACTCTCATGCTGACAAAAATAAATGTGAGTTTAAAACCTGCCATCAAGGTTAAAAAATAAACAGAAACAAAACCCACAACAAAAACAACAACAACAACAACTTTCTATTTCCTTCTTAAATGGTCTTACAGAAAAAAATATGCTTGTGCACTGTAATAATGTGAAAAAATATGACAAAACAGTTGCACTGCTATTATAGTCAATTAGGTTTTTTTCATTCAATATATATATAAATATTTTATTTTTCAGAAGAAAAAAAAATCTTGTCAACAGAAAGATTAACCTCTAACTATTTGTTCTCTCTGGCTTTTTCCTAGTCTCTCTTTCTATTTTAATTAATTACGGTGTGGAATATTTTTCGGGAACAGCATTGAAGTTTGGAAAATTGGTTCTCCTAATCAGATTAACCATAGTCAGCTCATTGTGTCAGCATATCTGCAGTACAATGGGTTCATTTGAATGGAAGTGGGAAAACAGACATTACCTGCCCATAAGAAACACAGAGAGACTTTTTTATCTTCAGAAAGAATGCAAATAGAGTGCAACACTGAGCGCACAGTTTTTCAGGGGCCTTGGTTCCGGAAGTGTTTCTCCTATTCATTTTCTTCATAGGGATTTCAAAATACCTTTGAATAAAGAATTTCATAAACAAAACCAACCAGCTCTGAGATTAATTATATAATAACAATATTACAAATGTGTTTTAAAGAAAAAACAAACAAGAATGTACTTTATGCTTAAATTTTTACTCATTGCATGAAACCATGCATAATCAAATAAAAAAAACATGGTACAATACAAAACTATTAATTTTCACTCATTCATAATAAATATGAAATGCAATATATTTTAAGTTAATATAATATATTCAAACTAATAGTTTCAGAGTAGTAAATTAGGCCATTCTGCTCTTGTGGACAGTTGCCATGGAGCTTTTTTGGTGCGGCTCTCAGTCCATTGTATTGTTCTAATTTTGGAAATTAAGTTGAATTCACATATACTTGTGGTTTCTACAGAAGCATATCATATTAACCTCAGAGCACGAGGTCTGTCAGGAAATGTATACATTAAAAATCAGTTTCTCTGTGTAGAAAATGTAGAGACAAGAAATAAACATGCATTTTTAACAATGATTTGCACAATTGTTCATATGAAAATATATATAACAGAAAAATCGCATAGTATTTTTGCAGAAAAGTCGCAGAAACTTTTTTTCCCACTAATGCATTTTTGACTTAAACACCTAGAAATGACAGCATATGACAGCACCACAAAACACATTATCCAGCAAGCTGTCGAAAGTTCTTCCTTAGTCTGTATAACTGTATGCAAGTTGTTTTTAAAAACATCTATAATCACCCAAAAATATCCACTGTTTGGATTGTTTGTTTAGCAGTTTATGAAACTAAAAGAGACTGTTTTACTGCATAACGTGACAACTCAGACAGGGTGAACCCACTTATGTCCCAATCTGACACAAATAACAGCTGATTCTCCAGGCAAGTGCAGACACATCCTGCTAATTAGCTGAATGCTCCTTAATGACCATGAAACGGCCCCCAAATCAGACAAGATGGCACTCGCTCTGTTCCCGTAATCACAGGTCACAATCAACTTAAGAGTGTGTAATTATAGCACTCTGAATATGCTCATATTCATCTTTCTCAGTCACTCTACTGTCTCTAAGTTTTATTTATATGAGAAGATTTCTACCTGTGTTTGTGGTCTGTGACGAGCACGACCAGACAGCAGGAACAACATATTTGGCAACATTTAGGGGTATCCAAAAGTCTAAAAATACACTAAAAAGCTGTGATTTTTTAAAACATGGAAATCAAGTTTGAGATTTTTTTAAACATTTTAAAATTGCCAGAAGTTGCAATGTTTCATGCAACCTTAATCAGGCATTGTTTTCAAATACAATAAATAAACCATTTAAAACCAACATTATTATTTAAAATAAATAAGAAATGCAGTATTGAGGCACCATGATTTGAGGCTCATATCCAGCTTGAGAACATGATCATCAGGTTTTGTTCATTGCAGTTCTGCTGTCATTATACCTAAAAGGGGAACAACATAAATACAGAAGACATTCTAAGGTTCAACTTATCACTCACATTGTTGGGCTGCATTAATAGTGACTATTTCATCAGGAAGCACAACTAATAACTTATCAAAGACCACATACGATGCTAAATGGTTACACTCTGCATTTGTCCCACATTTTCCCATCCAAAAAGCCTGAGGGGGCTCTAAACAGGATGACAAACGCCGGCCGGGTGGCCCATGTGTCCTGCTGTAGACTGCAAATGCCAGCTTCATTAGGAGAGGTTTTCAAGCATCCTGCTATCCCAGCTGCCGGGTCCTTTGTAGTCCCCCCCGCCAATCGATACTTAACATTTTCATGCTCAGTGTGCGGCCCCTATAAGCACTGTAAAAATGTTAAAGGGCAGAGAGTTTGGGGAGCAGAGATTACGGCTCTCGGAGACTGCAGACAGCACACGGCAAAAGGCCCACGTGCATGTTTATTTACTCTTTCAGAGCCCGGGATGAATGGAAAAGCCTCTGCTGGCATGTCGCTCCAAGGCACAACACCTCAAAAGAATGGAGTGAAACATGCAAACTGTGCAGTTAATTGATTCCATGTTTGCTTACAGTGTAAAATTTTATGTGGGCCTATTGTATACCGCATTTCTATTGACTTCAAGTTAAAGGGAAACACACACACACACACACAGTAGGCAGGTTTTAAAGGAATAATTCACCCAAAATGAAAATTTCCTGAAAATCTACTCACCTTCAGGCCATCCAAGTTGTTTCTTCATCTGAACAGATTTGGAGAAATTTAGCATTAAGTTACTTGATCACCAATGGATCCTCTGCAGTGAATGGGTGCCGTGAGAATGAGAGTACAAACAGCTGAAAAAACATCACAATAATCCACACCACTCCAGTCCATCAATTAACATCTTGTGAAGTTAAAAGCTGTGTGCTTGTTATAAACAAATCCATCCTCTTTTTAACTTCAAACCATTGTTTCTGGTTAAAATACAAGTCCTTGCTTTCTCCAGTGAAAAAGTCATCTCGTCTGAATCAGGAAAGAAATAAGTACAAATCTAGCAACATTTACAAGCCAAAACTGTTGTAAACAAATATGTCGGTGGATTTTCATGTGAGAGGACAAAAGGGGATGGACTTGTTCACAGTAGGAAGCATTATTATGGATTATGGACATATTTTAGCTGAAAGCAACAGTTTAAAGTTAAAACACATTTATTATGGATTTGTTTCTTATAACCATATAGCTTTTCTCTTCACAAGATGTTAATTGATGGACTGGAGTAGGATGATTTGTGGATTATTGTGATGTTTTTATCAGCTGTTTGGACTCTCATTCTGACGGCACCCATTCACTGCAGAGGATCCACTGGTGAGCAAGTGATGTAATGCTGAGTAAATCTTCAGCAAATTTTTATTTTTGGATGAACTATTTCTTTAAGGCATCTAGAAGTGCTCCAGATGTGAAGCCTCTTCTAAAATGTATGCAACTTAATTATGCTGCTTACTTTTGACTCCAATAATTCAGTGCAACAAGCAAACAATGTAAGAGATATTCTAAATATACTTAAAATTCGTAAAAGAAACTGAAACAGTTTAAAATAATTAAAATCTGAATATTTGAAAAGGGTTCCAAAACAGTTATCATGCTGTCATAGAAGGCGGCTACCTGTCCGTAGGCAGTGAGGCAGATCACTAGGTTTTGGAACAAAGCTAAAAGCCATGAACTTTTATTATACCTTATTTTTTAGCTGAGCTGAGGTATCTCTCTATATATATATATATAGGTGAAAGAAGTGCATCTCTGCTAGTGCCCTTGAACACTCAGCAGTGTCCTCCCTCTCTCTCTCTCTCTTGCGCTGGAGTCAGGCCAGAGCAGGAATGGCAGCGTGCCCGTATAGGAAATTAAGCTGTGTTCGTATCTCTCTGCTTTCAAGATGAAAGGCTGAAAAGAGACGTTAGCCCTAACTGGAGAAGTTCAGAGAGAAATGGAAACTAAGAAAGTTCTCATTTGTGAACAAAGTATCAAATTGTTTCCCAATTTAAAGATATCATAACTAAAAGCCGTTTCACATTCATTTCAACTGAGGGAGCAAGCTGATATTGAATGCATCTTCCACCAGAAAAAATAGAAATAAATAAAGCTCAAATTAAATGAATAAACAAATGAATAGATACAAATAAAAAAATAAAAGTACAAATGAAATGAATTACCATAAATATATATATAACAAATGAATTACCATATATATATATATATATATATATATACAGTAAATACAGTATCTCACAGAAGTGAGTACACCGCTCACATTAGCCATTTTCTCTCCCCAGTGTGTGACTCAGTGTTACAAGGTCTCAGGTGTGAATGGGGAGCAGGTGTGTTAAATTTGGTGTTATCATACATACATACACACATTTATTTATTCCACAAAATATGTACAATTATTGTAAGAAAAAAAAACGGTCGAAAATCAGTAAGTCACACCTTGTCTTATCATTTACTCATCTTCACCAGTAGCTACACCAGTAACAAATAGTAATTGTTTAATAATCCATTTATATTACCACTTACATGCTTTTTTTTAACAAAATGAATTAAACAAAACAAAGATTAAAGCTTTCCCAGAGGCTATTACAGAACTGAAGGAAAGACAGAGTGACAGGACATCAGTGTAGAAGAGTGGGCGTCTCATATCATTTAAAGCACAAATGTGTGTGAGCACTGCGACACTTCTACAGGGCCAACCAGTGACATGTATGTGCATGTGTGTCAGAGTGTGTTATGTTTATGGGGAGTTAATGATTGGATGAGTTATTACAGTATGCATCGGGCCATGCAGGCGTGATTTTGAGACACCATTTTCTATTTCGCTGCCTTGTGTTCTGCTGTTATTGACCATAAAATG